ATTCCGTGAAGAGATCGTGGTGGACTTTTGTGAGTGGAGGGAAGTCCTAAATAGTGACCCTTGATATGAGACCCGAGGATGAGAGTGTTGGAGTTGTGCCTCATTAGCTTGACTTCCGGAGATTTCTTATCATCCGCGTGCCTCCCTCGTTATTAATCGCTAGTGAAATGCTCGACACCCCGCTTTGCTTATGGTAATCATGTCGAGCTACTCCGGGATCTGCAATTTTTCGGAGAGCTTTACGTTGGCAAATGTATTTCCAATTATGTGCGCTGACTTGGGCATCTTTGCTAATTCGAAGATAATTGTTCTTTCATGGTCAGTCGCCAGGTGAACACCGAATGATATCAAGTGTATTTGCGTACTGTAAGACTCTATGAGAGTTGGTGGTATTAGTGGCGTCTTGATTAGACTATGAGTGGTTGTCTGAAGAGCGGATAACACTTGCGCTTTTTATATGACTCGACTGCGGGTAGATGTCAGGGATATCTGAACCATGCTAAGTGGCGGGTGTGCTATATTTAGCGCATGCGCGTCAGACCGGAGATGGAATCCGACGCGATCACACGAGTAGCGGCAAATTGTTGCGCAGGAATAGTTTATTGCGAGGTTGAAAGCGGAACAATGCACAAGATTTTGTGATAGTAATAGATTAAACGCCTTATTTGATGAGGCAAAAATCAGAGATCGAGTATGTATGAAAAGCTGTGACTGAAACGTAACTATTTATATGTGCGTTTTCGAGGGTTGTTGAGATCAGGATTTCAAGCTGGAGGATATTTTTCAGTTCCTTTCAATCGTTATCGTGTGGTACAACTATACTTAACACAAGCTCTGTGTATCATGAAGATTGTTCGTGTGTTCTATTGTCTCTCGAGTACTTTCGTCGAGAACTCGTCTGTATCGCGATTATGTGTTTTAGTAGCATGGGCTGATGAGCTTGGACAAATCTTACGATGGGCTCGTGGGGTTGGTTCGAGATATTCCGAAGCCGAATTGGAGGGGTTGTGAGTAGTGTGCGTTTTGCTAAGAATAGATTTTTGAGGAATAAGAGATATGGCGCTATATTTTGACTATTCCTCATCGACGATCAAAACCGATGCCTGCGCAGCCAGCAGTCGGTGCCGCCCCAGTGTCTTTGCGGTGGCGGGGGTGCGTGGTCGTGTTTGCGGTTCGTGTGGTGTCTGTAGTTCACGCGAGTCACTTTGCAAATATCTGGTGTCATCATTCTCGTCTGCGATGCTTCCTACTTTGTGTCAGGTTGTTGTGTTATCTTTCAGCAAACTTTCACGCATTGCACAGTACTACGTAATTGCACATCTTCCCTCACTTTTGACTCTGCTTTCTCAAAAAGCAAAAGATAAGTAAACAGAACAAGAGGGCAGAGAAGTAGAGAAAAGTGGAGCATGGGGAAGAATTCTTGTCTTAGGTGTGCTGTTTAATGCAATACTATTCCGTCGATGACTCGGAGTCTCGGTACTGAGATTGTAGGGCGCGGTGGCGGTGCTCGGGCGTGGGCGTGGTGTGGTGGGGGCTTGGCGCTCCTTCTCATGGTGGGTGTGCTCTATGGTTTGAGAACGGGGTCGTTGAATTATGTACAGGTCACTCTCGTACAGGCTTGCCCATTTTCGCCGCGTTTCGATTCAGGAGCTGTATACTGTAGAATAAAATATATATTCCTGGTGGCTTTTAGTGAGGCAATTTCTCGCAATGCCACAGAGTGGCGTCACGCACCTCTCAAAACTTGGCCAGTGCCAGATATGGCCGCCAGCGACCTCATCGTTTCACTTCACATTCACCGGCCACACCGCGACCTGCGGCCGAACGGCACACCACAGAACGCTCGCCTTCGCCCGCATTCAAAATTCGCGCCGGCGCGCGAGTGGAATCGCCGCATTGAGAAAAAAAACCAATGAGCCTCTCATGAAGATCAAAACCATGCATGGAAGCATCTCCCCAGTTCACCGATAACTTTCCAAATATCAATTTCCCATTCCATTTTTCAGTTGTTATCTTTCAGCAAACTTTCACGCATTGCACAGTACTACGTAATTGCACATCTTCCCTCACTTTTGACTCTGCTTTCTCAAAAAGCAAAAGATAAGTAAACAGAACAAGAGGGCAGAGAAGTAGAGAAAAGTGGAGCATGGGGAAGAATTCTCTTCTTAGGTGTGCTGTTTAATGCAATACTATTCCGTCGATGACCTCTATTACATGATCTACCCTATTTCATGCCATTGGGGAGAGAACGGGTCAGTTGAATTATTACAGGTCACTCAAACAGCGCCTATTTGCCCGTTCGACAGGAGTGAATTGATAAAATTACCGACAATCCAATGCCAAAGAGTGGCGTCATCGACACCCAAAACTTGGCAACGTGCCAGATATGGGCCGAGCGACCCATCACTTCACATCACGGCCACACCGAACCACCACATCGCCTTCGCCGCATCAATCGCCGCGCGCGGCGAGTGGAATCGCCGCGTGCGACGGCGCGGCGGCGGCCCCAGGAGGACAAACGCCCGTCTCCCCTTCCCTTGTGAGATTTACAGGCTGGGAAAAGAAGTGATACTGAAGTGGGCCACGATTAATTGAAGTGATCTTGCTCCAAGTCGATTTGGTACTCCGCGGTAATCAATTCGTATAAGTTACTTAAGCCACATTAAGTTCAGAAGGGTCACATACTTAAAAGTATGACCTTGCTGAGCGGGAAAAAGATTATGGGATGCGACAAGAGTGTTTCAAGCGCAGTATACAACTTAGTAAAGGTAGCTGGGTCGTTTACCGTGGCGAAATTAAACGTGTTGAGGAGGTACCAAAAATAGTTTAAATTTCACTCTTATCTCTTCGGTTCCTCCGACCACTTATCGTTTATCTCTGCGTTCGCCCGAGCCCCTTTTGCAGAGTGGTAAGCCACAGTAATCGATCAGTGGATCGGCGTTATCTCCGCGAATGATGCCGTTGCTTCGCTCCCGCGCTAGGAAAGAGTGGACCGTGGCAGCCCACTCCCTTCTTTCAATCAGTTCGACAGAATCCACCCTTTGAGCGTGTACCCCTAAATAAAGAAGTCAAGTTAAATTGCTTCCTTTTTAATTCGCGCATCGTAGCGAACAAGATTAATCATCTACACATGTTTTTAGCACACATAAACCCGATATCCTTATTGTAACAGAGACGTGAGATTCTTGGCGCGGCTCATTGTTCTACTGTTAGGTTCATTGCCGTTTACCGCACACCTAATACCCCTTCTGCTATAGACGTTCCATTTATCGATCTTCTTTCGGAATTCAGTTTAGCCAAATGTCACACCATTATGGCTGGGACTTCAATCTCAACATAGATTGGTCGACGAAAAAGCCGCACAACTGCCCGTCAACTGTCTTTTTTTGTCAACGCCACTTTCACACAGCATGTTACTCAAGCAACTCATGCTGATAGCGTTTAGCCCTCGTCCTGTCTTTTTCAGCTGATGTTACCAATGTTTCCATTGTCCCACCGTTCGCCAGTTCTGATCATGATGTAGTTTCCTTCCGAATGATCACAAACTACCCCTGCGTTCACCAATCCCTGCTCTCGATTTTGTCAATCTCGACTATTATAAATTAGATGCGTTCTTCGAAGTGTTGACTGGCTAGCAGTTTTTGATAACTGTATTAATGACCTACCTCTATTAATGACTTTGCAAGCGCTTTTGTGGACAGATTTACTCCGCATTTGCTTCCTTTGTCACCTATAAGGTGATCCCTCCATCACAGTCAAGATATCCACCGTCATATTGAGAATCTGTTTGCGTAAAAGTCTAGGATTTCCTATTAAACCCCCTGCCCGTTATCAGATGCATTACAAAAAAGTTTGCGCGGACCTCGACTCATACCTAAAAGAATTCCTTCAGAATCGCGAAAGGTGGTTAACGACTAAAGCGAGGCAAAACTCTTCCGCCACATACGGCGAAAAATTCTCGCCCTGAGTTACCTGTGCTATCTGACTCATCTGGTTCTCTCTTCACATCCGATGAAGAGAAAGCTAATGCACTGGGTAATTACTTCGCGAGCGTGTTCTCTACTCACAATGAAGATGTGGAAGTTTCTAATTGCGACCATATTCGACACCGTTTATTTCACTTTTTCTTCCATCCTCACGATGTTTTTATTGTTCTTGCTAACCTGAAGCCGTCATTTTCGGAACCCTATGATGGTATTCCTCAGGTGGTGTATAAGAAGGGTGCCCGTTCCTTTGTGCCAATCACTGACGCACATTTTCAACATCTCTATACTTTTTGGGGAAGTGCCCAAAATTTGGAAGAATTCCTTATTAACCGCTATTCGTAAGCGTTCCAATAGCCGATTATTATCTGACTTCGCCCTATCAGTATCTTACCGATTGCAGCGAACGTTATGTAGAGGTTGATATTTGCATCATATTTCAAGGATAGGTATATGACAGTGAAGGATGGGTACTGTTTTTTCAAAAGGTGTATTTGCTTCAGCGGTGTCCCTCAAGGCGGTGTGTTATCAACTTGGCTCTTTCTCATATACACGATTGACCTTCGTTATCAAGACCTCAGAATACGTAAAACGTTGATATACGCAGATGATATCAAAATCTATGCAACATATAACTCTGAATCTGCATTAGAAGTCCAAATGGCTGTAAAGGCAAAGGTCGGGATTGGATGACCAAACCAACCCTTTCGGTCATGTCTGTACTTGTTCTCGAACAGTGCGGTAATAAGGCCCCAGGGCATGTACTATGCGCTATCGCCGCCTGGCGCCGCTACACCTACCTTGGTATGTGGTGCATGGCTGTCACGGACACGCGAATTCGATGGTGGGTTGTAGGATGATATCGATGAGGAGCTGCACGAACAACATTATTTTGTAGCCCTTTCTCCTATTTCCTTTTTTTAACGCTATTTTGATATTCGTTTTTGTTTTCTTTATTTCGTGAACTATTCTAAAAATCCTGTAGTGTGTAATAGTTTGCCATGTTCATTTTTAGGGAGGTACCGTTGCGTTCGAGGAATCTCCGTTGATGATACACATAACGCCACACGATACAATCTCAAGCTGGCGACGGTTACGGTTTTGAACGAGAGGGACACGGGTGTTCCAGCAGGTGGACGAAATTCAGTTACTATAGATGAATCCAGTGGAATTGAAACGGCAATTTTTAAGCCTTCCTACTCAGTGGGACCATGACTTCTGCAGATGTAGAGAAACTTTTTCACGAAATCCAAAGCGTGGTACCCGAATTCAATCTCAAGCAAATATTTACCGACGAAGCGCCGTGCTTTTACAACGGTTTCCGCTTGGTGTTTCCTCATTCGCAATCCAAACTTCACTACTGCAGATGGCACATTGAGAGGACGTGGCAGAGAAACGCAGTTGAATTAATTGAGGGAGTTTATGAAATTATTATAATTATCAGTGATGCGGTGTGCAGTCAATCCTTCTTCGAGACATTTATGAATTAAAGTTTCAGCCTCAAATCCATAATAGATTGAAGAAGATGCTGAGAGATCTCTTCAAGATGGAAGAGCTGCCCGCGTTCCAAATCGGGGGCCAGGGTCACATGGAGGATTACTTGAGGCGGAACTATCTGGGTACAAGGCTTAATTGTGATAATTGCTCCTCAACTTATAGAAACCCTGTATAAGATAGAACACCTATGTGATCACCATTCCCGAATCAGGGTGCCATAATGAATAGTGAGAGGTGGTAATTGCGTCTGAACACAGAATTTCTCTGCAGAAATGTTAATGCCAGAGCAGACTGCCTGGTAGACCTTCTGATCAGAGCCGTGGAAGAGATGTCGAAGTCAGATGAAATCAAGGTACATCGCAACAATTTTACTATGTTGAATAGAAGCAGCATTTTCTTAAAGCTCGTCGTCGGCTTGCTGAAGCCTCTCACCGCGTCCAACAGACCGCCATATGTCATCCCACGCCTTGAAATTTTTTGGCTCACATCCTGATAGAATTTGCGAATTGAGCACCGGAAAATGACAAGTACTTACAAGGCAACCCGAAGGGCAGCACTTGTACATTAGCCATGTGCGAATGCAGCGACGCTGCACAGTGGATTGCCCATTGCCCCCTCCGCGACGTCTGCCCATATGCACGGTGATGCTCCTGTACAGACAATCGAGCAGGAATCAGCTGCATTCATCGCCATGCTGTGATGCTTCACGGTCAGTCTGCCAACAAGGCGGCATTCATAATTACACCAGATCAAGCAATTGAGGAAGAAGTGAGAGTACTTGGAGATACTGCCGGGCCAAGAATTGCACCACATGGGAGAAATAAGCGCCGCTCAGGAAAGAAGAGACAGCAGAGAGATCAACTGAGAAACTCTATCAATATGATGAGCAGAGAGGACTTGTGTTTATATTGAAGTAAAACATGAAATATTCAGCAAATATCTGTGCTCCAAACTAATATGAACGCACTAGTCAATACAGATACAAGAGCCAAGAGAAGTGCTTTCGGCGAACGTCGACCTGATAGATGAAGCTTCTAAAATGCACCTGACGCCTTTGCAAGGGATAGTCGTGCGACCAGGCCGGGATGTGTAGAGGTAGCAAACTGAACATTCAACACTGCAAACTAACAGCATCGAATTGCGACAGCAATGAAGAATAAAAGCGAAGACATTGTGAACAGTAGCAAACCTGCCTTTATATTCTCGGTTTTTCCGCGCGGAGCACTGCAGCTATCGACCGAGGTTGGGGGGGGGCATACGCTGGATGTGCCATGTTGGAATATTGCCATCGCTGGCGGAAATCCCGCCGACGTATTGATTTTCCTATCAACTGTTGGCTTGATGTCACCAATGTGAGGACAACTCGTCCGACATTGCTCTGGATTTTCCGGCCGTGCAGTGTTAAGGCCAATAGTGTTATCCTACTCACGAAGGATATACGCACAGTGAATTACTTCACTACTTTCAATTCCTTCTTCCTTCGTACCTCTAGATGGCTGGAGAAACTACCGTTTGAAGTGCTTCCTGCAAGGAATGGTAAGAGGTCCAGTGTTAAATCAAGGGATATCAATGTCCTTCAGCTGCTAGATATTGATTTTAAATTTCTCAAATTCTAGGTGATCCTGGTTTTTTCCTTTTTTCGACTTTCTGATTCTTCCGTGGTACGCTGAGGAGCTGCTCAGCGTATTTCCAGGGTGCTCTTAATTTTTCCGCATTCGCTAATGCTGGACGGATAGCATCGCATCCGCATACTGCTCTTTTAGTGGTGGCCGTTGCATATATAGTGTCTTTTTTGTCGTACTCTTCTTCCAAATCCTCAAACTGCGTTTCCTTTGTTCTTTTGGCTTCCTCAAGGACTCTTTCAGCTCGTACTTTTACTTACTTTTCTTTTGAATTTCCATGCTTACGGCTTTGGTCTGGTGCTCAACAATCAGTGACATTCACACATGCTTACGTAATAAATAGTAAATAAATAAATTGCGTGGAATTTCACACCATTCTTCCTGCATTATCCATAATGGTGTTACGACAGTGATGGTATTCAAAAGACCTCCCAAAAATACGTACGAAAGAAAGCTAGAAGACTTATTAAACTTATAAATACGTAATGG